ATTTATTCAATGCAAGATGAAACACTAAACATGTAATTTCTCCACCATACACTAACCTTCCTTCCAACGTACACAGGAATACCTATAATCATAGCAGGGATGGCTATGCCAGCAACTAGGGCTATTCCAACGGGTGCACCAACTAAAGTTCCTAACTGCCATAAAATCTTTTTTTTACGACTCCATGGCTTCTTACCCCAGAAGGTACATCCAGATGGGCTGTTAGAAAAGAGAAAACAATCAGAATATCATTCCAAGATATCCCTTCTTCAACTCATTCTTCGTTTAAAAAAAAATTTCCTATCCCCCAGCTCACAAAATTTTAGACCTTTCTATGGACTTTTAAGACAATTTTGGGAGGATTTAAGAACTTCTTAAGGGAAAAACTGAATGACCTTTGCCAAGTATTACAAACTTAATTTCATTAAACAATGACTACCCACACTACCGGCAACCTACCGCTACTATGGCAACCAAGTATTATTGTAGTTACAAAAAAATGAGGACACAGCATAACAGCTTTAAGAGGCATGCAACTTAAAGCGTTGAAGACTTAGTGTCAGGAGAACAATGAGATTTGCTGAACTGGAGGGTGGGAGTGGTTTTTAGTGGTATTTATAAGCTCCAATAAACATTTGAAACAGACTCCATCATATATCAAAGTAAATATTTTATACATAGTAATAAATAATATCATATAGGCATTTATAGTAGGATATATCCAGAAAAAAAGCACTTCACAAAACAGTAGTTAACAGTAAGCTTGAGTAAAAAAAAAAAGAGTTTTCTATTTATTTTTTAAAGAGTCTACTGTAGTGTACGTCTTTAAATCTAGTGACAAACTGTTCCATAGTTGTGATGCAGTTTTTTTAAAAGCATGGTTTTTGTTTGTTTGGGTAACATAAGTTGATTTTGTGGATGGAGACTATGTTTTGGTTTATTTAATGTCACAAGATCACATATATATGACGATGCAGTATAATGAATAGCATGATGTGTAACAAGTGTTAAATGCAAGTTGTTTTATGGGCAACCAGTGGAGTTTGTGTGGAATGTTAGTGATGTAATCATGTTTTTTGATCTTATTTATCAGACGAGCAGCTGTGTTTTGTAGAAGTTGCAGTTTATTTATGTTGATATTAGTGACGCCACAGAGTAGACTGTTTGCATAATCAATTCTCGATGTAACAAAGGCATGAATAAGTATGTGAACACTTTGTTGCCAGTCAGTAAAGTAACATCTAAACCAACTCAGAACAATTCCACTAACACCCATAGTATTTGACATGTAGTTGAGTAGTAATGAATGATTAAGTTTAGTAGTGAATGGTTAAGTTTAGTAGTGAATGGTTAAATTTAGTAGTGAATGGTTAAGTGTAGTAGTGAATGGTTAAGTGTAGTAGTGAATGATTAATGTCAGTAGTGATTGGGTAATTGTAGTTGTAAACGGTTAGGTGTAGTAGTGAATGGTTAAGCGTAGTAGTGAATGGTTAAGTGTAATAGTGAATGGTTAAGCGTAGTAGTGATTGGTTAAGCGTAGTAGTGATTGGTTAAGTGTAATAGTGAATGGTTAAGTGTAGGAGAGAATGTTTAAGTAAAGTACATCACCATACTTTATCTGACGCGTCAATGATGGTGCATAAAGGCAAAACATTTTTGCTACACTGAGAGATTCTATAGACTCGTATCATGTTGCCTAACTGCAAGACTATCTTTACTGTTAGCCCGGCATGTAAGCTGAACTAGTCTCCTGTTTTCTATTGAATTTTAAATCTTGCAAGTTTAACAGTTTGATATTCCATTTGGAAAATGACATGGCATCCAGGTACGTCAAACTCACATTATAACTTATTTATGCTAATGGCATACTAGTTACAAGCATATGCACTTTTAAACTGTGGTACATAGGTACTTATTATAAGAAGATTATATCTAATGAGATATTCAACCTAGTTACATGTAAAAATTGTAAAGCTTCCAACCAATAAAAAGGACAGCTTCTGATCTGCTCTAAGCAATTATAACCTGATGCGTAGAATCCTTTATGCAAGTGCATGTCTACTTTCCACTCTGTTTTCCAAAATGTCAATGCATATCACGAATAATTATAATAGCAATGAACACGCCTCAGAATGGACCAGTCATTCTAATTTCGCATTGGACCACGATTTAGAAGAAGGACAAACATTATAAAAATGCCACGGCTGGGCCAGTTCAGATGATACTGAAAACTCAATTACAAATAAATTTACAGAAACATTCAGTACTGTAAAGAGATTAATTATTCACTTGGTTTTAATTTTGCTTATTTCACTGACTGGAAAATGCGCTAAATTAAAACCCAGTGAATATGTAAAATTCAGCATAAAACACATTATCTAAATGATAAAATCGTGAATTTAAATAATCAAAAAATCAGCAAAATTTAAACCAAGTGAAAATTAGTCATTTAACAGTAATTTGGATTCAGATATTTTGCAACTGCTACATTTATTATATTAAACATATTTCTCACGTGCCAGTGGCTTCAAATAGAATGTACATGCCAGAGTTAAAAACCAATGATAGTGATTTTAGCAATCAGAATAAATATTCTCTTACCTCAAGTAATGTAAATCAGATATTTCCTTCATACACAGCCAGCAAAACTCAGCACCGCACACTGCACAAGTCATGTGATTACATGATCCATCATCCATTTTCACAATAAATGCTGAGCATCGTGGACATGGTTTGATGTCATCACCTGTTAGTTAAAAAAAAAGAATGTAGTTATATATATATTTTTAAAAAAATACTTCCAATTTCACACACTAATATTAACCGGATGGCACTTGACAGTCTGATTGAGGCCATTTTATGATGTGTGTTGAGTGTGATGTGTTGTGTGTGTGTGTGTGTGTGTGTGTGTGTGTGTGTGTGTGTGTGTGTGTGTGTGTGTGTGTGTGTGTGTGTGTGTTGTGTGTTGTGTGTTGATAGTGCAATTCGTCATTATTGAAATCAAATAATATCGAGTTTGTCGAAAAACAAGACAGATGTTAAATTTTTACTTTCACATTTAAGGTAAAAATAAACAAAATTGTGAAATTAAAGTTTATGCATGAAGGACGAGATTTTGGAGTATAACAGAAATTGCAATTTCTGTAATTTTCACTGTTCATGCTGTCTATGAAAACTGGGTGCATAAATTAAACAAGATTATATGGTACACAAACATTAGTGTTCATGATGTATGATGTACGTCATGTAAATGCAAAATACAACAGAAATTTCAAAACGAGATTCAACTCCAACCTTGTCATAATAAAGCATCTTGTGAGGAGAAGTAAGATTATTTTTTAGATTTTTTTCTAGGAAAAAAAAAACTGTAAGAGGGAGGAACTGCAATTCAGCAGCGCCACGAAGTGGGAGAGATAGTTTTCTCCCTACCAGGGTGTGGAGTTTTTGATAATTCCAAGTTAAAATGGAGCATTCTATGGCTTCCATGGGGCCAAAATTACTATCAGACAGGTCACAGTTGAAGACTGTGGCCACATGTGATCCCTGGTCAATCAGAATTTTATGGTTGCCAGAGGATCTGTCCCCCAGGGTAAGGGGGCGCATGGCCATGGCATGAGGGCGCTGCACCCCTGTTTCCTTGTTTAAACAAATCCCTGATAGACATCAGTTCACCCAATGATTGAACAAATTCAATACATGTCTGTTCCAATTGACAACCAACTTACCTAACCCGGAAGTGATGCTATGTCTAGCACTCATAGAAGTTCTGTTTTTAGATAACCGTTGTTGCCGTGCCATGTCACACGTTTGATTCGGATGCCATAACTGCTTACAATGGTAGCAAAAATCAGTTTCACATCCTGGTCTTTCACAGTGTAATTTAGGACAGCTTGCACAGCCTGAGGCTATCAAAACATACCTATGTGCAAATATACAAACAGTTGTCATTAATAATCAGGTTCTATTTTCTCTTTTGAAAGATCGATATTTCAAAACTGAACTATAAAATATGGCATTCAAGTTAAAAATCAAATCATTTTTGCAGCAGACACTCAGTCAACACTGTTCTTGTATAATGCAAGACGTCATAGAATCCCCTATTGTACATACGCTTAAGTGGCATACCAGAACAGATGAGATCACATGTACCAGAAATTCAGATATATACATGGTATTACCAGTAATAGATTATAGCTTGAACCAAAAATATTCTGAAGGCTGGATGAAGTGAACTTCTGAAGGCATGAAGTAAATACATAAAGTAAACTCATACGTGAAGTGAACTTACCCACAATCTGGCGCTGGGCACCATCTTACATCAGGGTCGGTAACTAACAATCTACGTAATGTGAACTCTTCATATTTTCCATACAAGGTACTATCATTGACTACCATGCGAATATCATTGGGATGGAAATGTTCCGCACACTCTGGACATGCGATGTTCACTCGACTTTCAGTGATTTCAATTTTTAAGTACTGACGAAGGCACTCTTGACATGATCGGTGGTGGCACGTCATTATATCGGGAAACTGGTCCTTAGGTCTTTCCATCAAACACAGTGGACATTCCATTTTCCCGTTCAGGATTTCTTCTTAGATTTCTTTTCCACCTGGAAATTGGGCACAATTTCAGGTTCACCTCCACCGATGCTCCCAGCAATGGACATATCATCTTCCTTTGGCGTCTTTTTACGTTT